ACTGTCACTTCCACATATCCTAAAAATTGCACGCATGACTTAATAAGCACTTATCTAGGAAGATGGGAGGAAACTGTTTTCGCAGGGTAAGTACGCACTAACCTCACTAACACTTTGAACTCTTAAGTTTTTTAGCTCAACCCAACAATGCACAATTTATTACAAGCCGAGTGATCAAGCCAACAATTTGTAGACGTGGGCCTACAGGTCTATGTGCTGGCTGCGTCCCTGCACGGATTCATAATCCCAGGCTGGAAGTTATTGCCTTGGAGTGACTTGCAAAGTCCTGATTTCAAGAGTTTTGGAAACGTGCGTGTAAAACAAATGGAATTCAATAAAGAAGCAGCAAGCGATCTCTCGTAAACCCAAGAAAATTCAAAGCAGTCGTCTTCACTTTTTTGACTCTGCGTTGCTTGTCTTGTGACGTTATTTGGGCTCCAGGCTTGTGCTTTCAGCCTTGTTCCGGGCTTTCTAGCTCTCCAACATATGCTTGGACCGAGGAAACTGAGTTTCGAACATCGCACTTCTGCAAAATTCTCAAAAAACACCTGGGGGAAAACCCTCCAAAACTCTTTCATACCGCGCACACAAGTCGTCTAGTGGATCAAGAAAACGAAACGAACAAAACTCCTACTACAGCCCTCCCCAAGTTGGGAAGTCAGGACACAACACACTAACACACCGCGGCTTCTTTTTCATTTTCTGCGCGCTAAGGCCATGTGATCAAGATTCTCCAATGAGCGTATGGAAACCAGTCTACCTCTTTCGAGCGTTCGTGTTTGGCCGATGGTGAGCAAAAGAGCTAGGGAGATTCAACTCCCGATTCATTCGTTTATTCGAAAGGAAAACACACCTTTCTGGGGAGAAAAACACTTAAGAATACTTGACCATTTATGCGGTTGATTGAAGTTAATTTAAAAAGTAAAAACCAGAGCTTGCAAAGAACAAGCAAGAATTCAGTTATCGGAGAGCGATGCACGACTGAGGTGCCCAATATACAGGCACCCAACGACGGTTTCCTCCTAAATACATTGAAAACACTTTTAAGGCTATCCATAGTACTTTTAGATCTGTAGAAATACATTCTTTTCCCAAATTACAAGGGCTTGAGTATTATTTTTCCGAAAAATTTTAGATGAAATTGGATGTTTTACGAAAGTGAGACATTTTCTGATTCTTCTCGCCATCTCATTTATGAATCCGAAAATTTTACGTGTCCTTTTTTTACGAAAAATAGCTTAACTTAGGAAGTAAAATGAGAAAATTAAACTTCAGAAAATCGAATGAATTTATAAGATAAGTTTCGAAAATTGTAAATGAATGGAACGGTGGTCTAGAATTTTTTAGCCGTCCTCAGGTCATAGAAAATTCTAGGCAATATTTGCTTCTCCCTACAGATATTTTACAGAAAACAGTCGCTGGGTGTCGCTTAATATAATCTGCGGAATTTCTACATGCAGCATAATTTAGCACAATGCTTTCAAGATTTGATAAACATAGGCAATGATAGACAATTGATCATGATAAACCAACCCGTGTCCATAATAATTCAGCTACGTTAATTGACAATATCCTATTAAATAGATTTGACTATAATATCACCAGTGGGAATATATTATTTCCAATGTTAGCGATCCCCTTCACAATTCTTTACTCTCCACTCGATCTGTTAAAGAACAAATGTATAAACGGAAAACAAAAAAACGTGCTTTATAGCTGATCTTTGCGATATCAATTTGGATTGAATGTGCAAAATAACGCAGATCGATCTTTCTTACTTTTTTATAATAAGCTAAACAAAACTTGAAACAAACTGATGTTCCTATCATAACTCTATCCCGTCGAAGAGCAAAACAAATCTCAAAGTCTTGAATCAGATAAGGAAATCAATCAAGGTGAAAAACAATCTTTACTACTCAGGTGATATAGATTTATATAAAATTTTCAGAAAAAAAATTTCAACTCTCTCACGACAAAGTAAGCCACGTGACTGTACTACTATGCCCATTTTAACGAAAATTTGAAAAATATGAAACCGTACTAAGCGTACTAAGAAAAACTCTAAGCCCTGATCTGATCCGCTGACAGTACGTAATAAATATACTGATGATCCAAACAAAATTTCAGATGTTCTTAACATCCATTTTTCTTCTGTTGGTCGCAAATTGGCATCCAAAATACCACCTACTACTTGTAATTTTACGGAGTATCTATCCGGTAATTACAGCGAGTCTTTCTTTTTTAATTCAGTGACTGCCCTCGAAATTGAAAAGGAAACATTTTCCATTCCTCTAAATAACGCACACGGACTATACTCTTGCCAGTTGCCCAACCAGAATCTTGAGCTCTGCTAAGCACATCATGAATATGCAAAATGACACGTCCCGGTTTCAAACTTCACGGAATCAGATTACTGAATATATGTTCTTATGTTCTTTCAGGGGCACCCAACGAGAATATAGTTCAAAACCACTAAACATAGCATTGTTAAACGTATTTTAGTATTTAAACGGTAGATAAAGGCATATTTTTATCCCCTAAAAATTTTTCATCTGTTCGGATTTCCTAGCTGAAAGTCTAGTGATCCGAAAACTATAGGGATCAAAACTTACCTTTTCGAAAATTTCAGCCAGAAAAAAGGCTCCCGAAAATTCTAGGTGACCTTTTTAGGGTAAAAATCCGTTAAAAATAGGCAGTTAAATGTTCGAAAATCCTAGGAGAGGCAGGCAAGCAACAAATTTTACAACAAATGTTTCGAAAATTCTAGATCTCAAATCGTCTTCCGAACAGATATTTTTCCGAAAATTGTCCTTGGGTGCCCCTGTTCTTTGCGTCATTTTAAATTTGAACTCGTGAAATGCTTCTAGGACCGCTAACTTACTGCCCGGCGACAAATAAAGGCTTCTAGTCGGCTTTTGAATAATTTTTTCTTGTTATTTTATAAGTAGTAGAATGGGTTGATTTTCTTTGCTAACGCGGTTTCAAAAAGGGTTTCAAGTTGTACTGATCCAGGTCGACAACTGTGAGATCCGGCACCGCACCACTCAACGCTTTGTTGTTGTAGATTTAATATTTTATTTTAAACCTGATATTGCACTGATATATCCACTGACCAGTATCACATTACCGTATGGTGGGCTTAGGGGTTGGACCCATTTGAAATTATCCTGACAATAAGTTTTTATCGCAGGCTTAATGGGATTTCTTTGCCATGGCAAGGTTGTTGTTTGTTTGGATAATTTATTAATATGTTTTATATACGTTTTCAGGCAGCTAAAAACGGTATAGCCCTAGTTTGGGTTAAATAGACCCAACAAGGCTGCCACAAGCTGCCACCGATAATGGAATTAAATGACCAAGGACTGAATCATTAAAGAGCAAAGAGCAACATGAAAGATTGCCAGGGGCACCCAACGACGATTTCCTCCTAAATACACTGTTAACGCTTTTTAGGTTATCCAGAGGACTTTTAGATATCTAGAAATGCATTCTGAGCGACACTTTGGCGGAAAGTAGTATCTGTTCCGTCATCAAAGTCAACTTGAGTCTTTTCGAAATTACAAGGACTTTAGTGTTATTTTCCCCAAACCTGATGCTGCAGGCAATTTAATGCTTCAAGAAGGTGAAAACTTTTCTGATTCCTTTCTCCATCACATTTAATTTTCGAATCCAAAAATTTTAGGTTTTCTTTTTCTACAAAATATAGCTTATCACGGGGCGGTAATAGGGGGCGGTCGAAAAACCTGAAAATCGAAAATCAGTGGGGGAGGTAAATTTTGTGAAAGATTAAACAGATATTTTCAGAAAACAAAATCGTGGGGGGCAGACGGGAGGACTTAAAGATAAACAGGAGGAGACATTAAATTTTTTTTTGATGGAACATGGGGGGCCTTAAAATGCCAAAAGATAACCTTGGCGGGTCTTCAAGTTTCTTTTAAGTAGCATCCCTACTGAGCAGCATGATGTGATTCAGTTTTACACAAGTCTTATATTGTGTAATACTAAAACAATTTCATCAGTATTTTGACAAAAGAGATCCTGATGACTGGCAGCCAAGGGCTCAGTTGAAACGCTTATTTAATTCATCAGAAATAATCCTCAATGATACAGATGCCATTAAAGAATCGAATATGCAACAAAGTTCGCTGTTGATGAAAAATACGTGCGTTCATATCTGGAGCACTTGACAACACTGAGACTCAAAGAATCCATCAGGTCGACTCAGAGGCAAACCGACAAAAGCAAACGAGACCTAAAAACATACAATGAGTATGACTGGCTAGACATGTCTCTAAATTAAAAGGAACATTGCAACAACTAACTGTCAAAGAACTTGAGAAATATCTAACTGCCCACGGGCTTGGCAAGTATGGTAAAAAAAGTGACAAAATAAAAACCATCAGCTGCCATGTACTGCGAAACAATGAGCTTAATTCTATAAAAGAGAAACAGTTGGAAATGGCAGACTCCATATCCTATGCTGACCAGCAAGATGACGAATCACTCTCAGATGACGATTATGTAGTTGGCACATTCGGAAGTGACAGTGAGTAAGAACGGTAAAGTAAAGAAAATGTTATTTGTTATTACCATTTGGGTATTATGTAAAAAACATGCGTGCTATTGAGTAGGGGTCTGGAAATAATTTGGGATAAAAAACAATTTCTCCTCCCCCCCTCCAACTTAAATTATGACTGGTCCCTTAGTCATGATCACTCTTATATTCGGCTCACGTGCGTTACGGAGACGCCTTTTAGTGAACACGCGAAACAGTAAACTTTTTATTTCTAAAGAACTATTGACCGTGACTTTGTCAAAGTGCAGTTTGAAATATGATTGGCTACAAACTATAAGAGGCCTATTAGCCGGTTAAGTGATCCTTATGTTTAAATTTTGAAATACTTAGCTCAAAAGTTCAGAATTAGGCCGGCTTTCAGCTCAGAAGGTTTTCACACGTTTCAGCTGCCGTGTACGTGGAGAGCTGCACGAAGACCAGAGGGATGAAAAGCAAAAACACGAAAGGTGTAAGTTACGAAGAAGCCATGAAAGAGGCCTTTGTCGAGATCTTCCAGAATCTTAAAGAAATTGAAAAGGACACTGAGAAGAAACTGAGACTGAAAATAGATTTCGAGAGAAGAAGAGGCAGCGCTCCTTCTACTCTAGTACTTAGAGATGGAACAAAAGTTTTTACGAAACCAAGAGAGACAATCACAAGACAAATCTCTGCACCCGTGCAACCCAACTCATTTCCAAACACGACAGACATGAAAAGAAAATTGCATTCGCCTCCATCACCGGCTGAAATTAAGTTGTCGACGATGCTGTGGTTATAAACCGTGTGTTGAACAGGAGACAGCGTGAATTATTGATCACGACGACGCAGAAAGCACTGCAGAATAAACTAAGGCAAAAAATATTGGCTTTAAGACAAATGTACAAGGCCGAAAGCTGGAAAAATCCAGACCCACAAGATAAAAAAGAAGGAGTGAAAAACTTTTAAACTGCTCTCACTGGCTACAGATATATTCTCACTGACGGCTATGCTGTGTTGCTTCAGTGTAGAACTACAAGACAGAAAACTTAATCCGCGATTGATGTTAGTTTTTACTCAGCTCTGCGCGAAGATACGAACGATTTTAGTACTACTCTGTAGGTACACTGTGCTAAATTGCTCTCCCGTTTATGCTTTCAATGATGTAGAGCAAAGTTTAAACGGTGCTCCAAATCAATCATTATAGAACTATAGAACCGGAAATAACGAACAACATTTCTGTGATTGAATACGACTGTTTCTGTGGTCGAGTTCTTCCCGGCCGTAATCTATGTGGACTGACCCCATCTTGTGAAGGCAACTGATTAACTATAAATAGACAGATCTGTTATGAACAAATTCTGTTTTAAGTTTATTTTAAAAATATACAGAACGAGATTTTAAATATCTAAATAAAAGAAATTATTGTTCTCGAACTTGCACGATCACTGAGTCCAAAGTACTGAAATATGATTTTCCCAGGCACTTTACTTGGAACCGCCCGCCCCTGTTCAAAGCGACCACCAAACTGCGAATGTTAGGTCGGGCCGCTTGTGGGTCCGACTGTAGTTAATTCAGCGACAACTGTAGACTGTCAAATATTTATAGCTACATTGAAGCTATAAACTATAAGTAAAAATAAGCGTTGTATATACCTCCAACTGAAGACTTGGGGGTTAAACTCCACAACACCTTACGTCATAGTGAAGTTGCGTGCAACAAGGCACAAAAAAACTAAACACCGTGACATCAGTCTTTTGTGATTACAACACCATCCCCTTTGATGCGTAATTCTTTAATTCTTTCTCTCTATACTTAGTAAAAAGAATTAAGAGTCAGGGTCATAATAATTATAATAAAAAAATAAACTTCTGCCAGCGAGCTCCTTCTATTCATTATCACTTCCTGTAAAAGTCAAACAGTTTCAGAAGGTAGAGATTTCAATAATTTATCCTGATCACCGAAAGTTGTCTGAAATTGTTAGGCTTATAAAAATAATTATCCCTTTTGAGAAAGTTTTTTTTTGTTTCCCCTTTTTAACTACAGAAACCCACTAAGGCGGTCTTGCTAAGACGGGAAAGGACATTGATTGTTGGTTTGAGATCTAAGACGTGCAGTAATGTTAATTGTTAATCGATAGAGGATGACGGTTACCAAAATAAACCGCTTGTCGTGTAAAGTGCTCTAGGGGAAAGTAATTCTGAGATCTCACCGAAAGCTTTTAGTTCCTCGAAAAATACGGTCAGAGATTTGCTAGTTTTTTATTGTTACGTGGGTCGCTAGTGCAAGCTAAAACACGCTTATTATTAGATCTATGAAATAATCGCTGGAAACTTTTCCTTAAAAGCTCGGTGCTTAGTCACAGTTAAATTCCGCTAACTATTATTACGTTAAACCAATGCTATACCATGTTAACAGGTATTTTGAATTGCAATGACTTTGTTAAGGTGCTGCTATGACTTATAAGTATTATTGAATACAAACCATTAAGCACTATTCATTACGAAGTGTGTTTTTTACCTTGCCAATTTTGAAGTCACGTGTTTATGCTTGGTTAATCATGCGACAAGGAAGCTTGTGTCATGTTGATTTTATTTCAGAGAGAAGTTATGCTGCAAATAGGTCAAATCAATCAAAAAATTATACATTTGCATTCAGAACTCTGAAATAAGCCGATTAGGTCTTAAATAAGCTTTCAATAGGAAAAATATTGACTTTATTTATGAGAAGATCAAACAGACATTGAGGAACTTTAAACAAAGGGGGTTCTGTCAAAGTCCAGTTTCGATCCAGTTGACTATTAAAGAAGACTAGTTATTGACAGCGATTTCAATTTGATTACAACAAAACGTAACATAATTATATTCATATTTTATATTTGTATATTGTGCAAAATGTGTTTTGGTATTAACGAAGGTGCGAGAAAAGGCGTTAAAACCCGCCCATTCTTATAACTGCATACGTGTAGATAATTAAATAAGGCAACCGTTAACCAAACCAAATTTTCTTTTGTCGCTGCAAACCGGCAAATGCTGGATGGACTACAACGCGAACAAGTTCATTATTAAAAACCAACACCGCAATAGTTTACCTCGGAGAGTAAATGCTATCTTCAATTTGCATTATAATGACGTATTGGGAAGACCACCTTAGTTTTTCCCAAGTCTTATACTTGAAACCTATGTAGCAAGCGTCAGTTTCAGTGCCAGTTAGCTAGAGAAACTTCCTTCTTGCTTTGGAAGTAGAGCGAGGAGGAGGGAGACGGTCACGAAAAAAAAATTGAAAGAAAAAAAACGAAAACTGTGCCAATTTCCCCCCCTCTTGCAGCTAGTAGCTACATTGCGGAGGGACCAGAAAAAAGAGATCGGACGTCAGCTTTGAGAGCACATTATGCACCTGCTTCAGTCTACTTTTGATCTCACCTCGCCTACCGAGATCAATTAGGGAGCTTTAGCATCGGCGACGGCAGCGGCAGCTGCAGCGAAAACGTCAGGTTTAAAATGAATTCCCGTTTTTTCAATCCTTGTCGAGTTTATTCCAATTTGCTGAAAATGGCAAGTGTAGGCGAATTACCCTGGAGTTGATTTCTTAAGGACCGCACTCAAGTTTAGAGAGAGAGAAAGAGATTCGTTGTCGCTCATTTACGTCCTCCATAAAACTTGCAATTAGGTATTTTCACGTCGTAGTCTTGCAATAACGGTGAAGAAATGTACAAAACAGCGTGATGCACGTGCAAAGTTGTTGTTTAGCGTAATAAACCTAATGCTTCTTTGACGTCCTGGTTGCCGTCGCTATCGTCTTTGCTAAAGCTCCCTAATGACGTGACGGCACAAGTCAAAGGGTCCATGACACCGGGGCCTTAGTCCCATGTTCTTTTCGTTCCCTTTCAACTGATGTGTAAGGATAAAGAAGACAAGGCCAACGCATTGACGTCACCACCCAAAGAAAGGAAACGCTTTTAGACCTTCTCCCTACCTGGCCTGGGGCCAGGCTACGCAGATGGGAAAAAAGGCAAAAAAAGGGGTCAAATAGGAAAAATATTGGCGAGCGAAGCGAGCCTAGCGGTGGTCTGGGGAGGGGGAAAGCGCCGCCGCCTCTTTCCCCTCCCCAGGCTACCTCTCGGTTCGCTTCGCTCGCCAATTTTTTTTTCCTTTTTCCCCCAATGCGGAACCTAGTCTCAAGCTACTCAGCTCCCTACCGTTTCCTCCTTCAATCCCCGTCATTTTTTTTTGTTTTTTTGGTCTCGTCTGTCGAACTTCTCAACGAACTCAACCGGAGACGCTTGTTACGCAGCAGAGAAACTGATGGTCAGGAGAAAACTGCATTATCATTTAAAAAAACATGAAAATGGTGCCCGCCATGTTATTTTCAATTTAGTTCACCTCATTGCGCACCAGACTCTTGAACCTTTTTCATCAAAACATTTTGCTGTCGAAGACTACTATCCTATCAACCTCGTCCCCAGGGTTTTTTTAAGGGAAAAGCCCTGGGGACGAGGTTGCTATCTTATCACTTTGTGATGGTGTTGTTAAGTAGCCATTACTTATCGAGACCAGTGTGCCTCTGCTGAGGTTTTTAAACTGATTCATCGATTCGCGAAGTGTATAGTGACTTGGTGGAGCTTGTCATAGCACACAAATACAGTAATAGCCCGCGTATAAGAACCTGAATTTTTCAATTTAGCCTAAATAGGTTCTTATATAAATGGTACTTAAAGCAAATTTAGGCTACCGAGGTTCTTAAAATAGGTTCTTATATTTTCATCTGAATTTCATCTGAATATACTATATAAATTATAAATATCATCTGATAAGACAGTGTAAATCATTTATTTGTACCATAGAGCAATGCCTATATAGGCAGTTCAGTGCAGGTACAGCATATGTCCTAGATGATGATCTTAATTCAGCAGTTTCTACCTATAAACTTTTACTGCAACCCCACTAATAAGAACCTAACTTAAAATTTTAGCCTAAATAGGTTCTTATGTGGAGGGGGCTTAAAATGAAAATTTTAGCCTAACAGGTTCTTAAAACCCAGGTTCTTATACGCGGGCTATTACTGTACTGGCCCTCTCGATCGTTGGCGCCACCGATTCCGCAAGGCTCTATGGGAATACTGTAATGCTACTGTAAAATTACTTAGAATACCCTGACAGAAACCGAAAATGTGCCAGGAGAATGTTTCTCTTACACTTATCAACTGACATGGAAACGATCGAGTGTTCTAAGGCTACAAGTCTCTGGCCAGCTGTTTCTTACGGACAAGTCACCCGGCAAGGACTCGGCTTTACACACTTATACAATGGAACTGAAAATCTTTTATTCCAGTAAAAAGGCGAATTGAAAACGGCACTTAAGGTTTGTAACTACGGTCTTTAAGCTCGTGAAACAGAATGCTAGATATAAGTATTTCTTTGAAGCATGTCAGGGTAATGATTTAAGGGCAAGATAAGAACTCCCATTGTGATTTAAGAACAAAAGAAGTAAGTGCAAAGTCAGCTGAAAAATAACTAAATCATGCTGACGGGCCCATTTTGCAGAGTCGATGAGTTTAATTTGGCTTATGGAATTTGCCTAGTTTGCAAGGCTATTATTGAAATCAACATAGAAAACAAAGAGGAATAGATTAAACGTGCGGTGAGATTTGTAGTCGACAACTGTAATTTCTTATATAGGGACAAAAAGGCCTATGAAAGTTGCCAAGTCATACTTTTCAGCCTAACAACAAGATATGAGTATAAGATAGAACAACTGAGCCCGCAAAGGGATACCATCCTAACTCGCAAACATTAAGCGGAAA